GTGCACTTCAACTCGCCTAGGGCACCAAAATGGCTAGAGCCAGCACTGTTTAAGGGAAATATAAACTCAGAATGAATGGGAATGAATGATAAACATAAAACCTACATTATATTGCCAAAAGTATTCGCTCACCTGCTTTGACTCACATACAGTACATTTACCCAGGTACCGCTGGTTTGCTGTCCTGTACCTTCTTGTCTGTTTCCTGCTGTTCCCGTCCCTTGTGTTTGCTCTCTCCATGGCCGGCTGGAAGGTGATGACTGGGATTGGTGTTCCAGTCATTACACTGATTATATGTGTATCRATTATTAACATCCTCCAAAGACGGATGCCCACTTGTTTGCCACTCAGACTACAGAATTGGGACTTTCTTCCTATTTGGATGACCTCATTGCAGCCCATGGATAACCACATTACCAGGGTAATCCTGTGGTTTGGAAAAACAAGAGGTACTCATTTTTATAATTTTGTGTTYCATACATTGTGATTATGACTCACTACTTTTGTATCAGTTTCCAAACACCAAATTTTCTTGTTGTTTGTTTGTTTCTAGGTTGGTGTTTTAAGAGAAATGACCAGCCAGTAAATACATTAGAGAGCAATAATGTGAACCCTGAAAGAAAAGTAAGAAGAAAATGCAACGAGAATGCAAAAAACCAAGAGACAGATGGAAAGTGCACAAATCACAGAAAAATGAGCAGTCATAGAAGTTGTGATTTAGAGCTTATAGAAGGAAATCTTTCTGATATCCCAACACACAACAYGTTTTTCAGAAACAATGTGCATCAATCCACAGAGGAACACTTTAAAAATGGGTGTGCTCAGCTTTATAGCACTCACCTGTAGTTCTATCCTCCTGACTACCAGTAAATGAAATTTGTCCACTGTGGAGGTCATTTGTAAACCTGAAAATCTCTCACCCATACTACTGAATCAACTCCTTTGGCTATCTACAGAGGACATTTAGGGCTTTTCAATGATACCAGATTTGTAGGGGTGGGGCTTTGGTACCTTTCTTTACCTCATTCAGAAAATGGGTGTCCATTAGTGAAAGCACATTTTATGGGAAGAGGAAAGTTAAATGCTTAATACGTTTTGAAAGTTAAATGCTTAATACGTTTTACTGCACAAATTTTTGGCTTGAAACATTTTTGGCATATTTTATATAAGCCTCTAACAATGCATTAAAACGTTGTCTGAATTATTTTGACTTTATTTTTGCATAGTATTTTATCATTAAAAAATGCCCATCGTAGTGAACTTTTACTAAAGGTGTTTGTCCTGAACCTCATACACAAATCCAGAAAATGGTGTATGCACAAAAAAATCCAGACGTACGCCAGAATCCATGCACATTTCTTTTGTACATCAAAATCAATGTGGAACTGAGTGCATGTGGGACACCTCCCCTGACACACCTTCAATTACATAAGTTAAACAGATTCAAATTACTTCCTGCATGTGTGATGGACATGTTTGTGTGATTCCTGCTCATTCAGAAATGATTTCTGATCAATGTTCTTGTTAGGATTCTTGTGATAGTATTGTTGATCCAGTTCTCAAAAACATTTATGATGTGACTGTACTATTATGATAGTGATTGCAGCTCCCACCAYACCAAATTGAAGTATGTCTAAAAATATCCAAGTTGTAGTCATTTTAAATTAGCAGTGGCGGCCACCTTGAATATTCAGATCCAGAGGAGTTTTCTTTATTTTTATGTGCACCCCTAAAAATCACCTTGTCCACCCCTGTGCCACCTCTTGCAAAAAAAAGTCTAGCTCTGCCCCTGGATGCCTTATTGTAAAAGCTCTACTTTTTGGCACTCTTTTACGTTCAGTGTTTTGGTGCATGTAAGCAAATAAAACTTCATGCATTAAGCAAAACAAGGGTTACTAGTTTTCTTTGTTGCAGGTTTGAAACACAAGTTTGCAATGGAAAAAGTTGAGAGAGCCACAGAGCTGCAGCAGTGACATAATGGCTGAGGAAGTGACCCCAAAAAAATGGTTTTATTTCAACTGTCATTTGCAAACTTTTTATTTATCTTTCATTTTTGGTGTATGAGAGAACCATGATGTTTGCTTATGAATGTATATGCTATTGTACTTTACAGAAGGTGGTGCAACACTAAAAACCTACATTAACCACTGCTGGATGCATGTTTTACTGAGCTCCAAGAAGTGTTACAGCTTTGCTGTTAAAAATATCATGCTGTCTGCATGCAGAAAATCTGCTAAGAACCACAGACTATGCTATCAGGAACCAGCCATCACACTATAAAACCAACCTGTATGTGATGATAGATTAAATAGATAGATAGATAGATAGATAGATAGATAGATAGATAGATAGATAGATAGATAGATAGATAGATAGATAGATAGATAGATAGATAGATAG